GCATTGTGAATAAATCAACTATTTGAAGTTCATATTTCCAATACTTTAGACCAACTAACACCTCCTTTTGTACTTCTCTAAGAAAAAAATAATTTGATATTGAAGTACTTCATTTTCCCATGAAAAATAAGATTGTTAGAGATAAAAATTGTAGTTTAATTATCAACGAACACTTCTGTGCATCCTTCTTGTTCCAGGTTTAAATCCATCAAAACTTTTCTTAATCATGAAGCTTAATTGATAGTGACACTTCTGTTATAAATTGTGCCATTGTATTATGTTTTTTGCAGCACCATGAGAACACACCGAACCAAACTTGAAACAGTAACATGAAGTGCTTTTCAAATCATCAAGTGAACCTCCTTATTCACTGTCTGAATAGCCTTGTAAAACATAATCATGATTTGCAAAAAATCTGATTCCATAATTCAGTGTTCCTCTCACGTATCTAAGGACTCTTTTAGTAGTGGTAAGATATGTTTCAGTTGTACAATTCACGAATCTGGATAATAGACGTATAAAATGTAAGATATCTGGTCTTGTAGCCATTAGATACATCAGACACACAATTAATCTTTTATAAAAAAGTTTCATCGACTTTTTTTTAGCTTCATCTTTTCTACTCATCTTCTCTGTTTGACACATAGGATTACTTACTCTTGCATTCATCCATTTTGATTTTTTTTTTTCAAAATTTTCTTAGCATACTTCTTCTAGTATATGAACACTTTCCTATTTTTCTGCTATACTTTCATTCCCAGAAAATAAGTTATTTCTTCCAAATCCGTCATATCAAAGGTTTGCTTCATATCTCATTTGAACTTTCTCACAAGTTCTACATTGTTTTCTCTGACCAACAAATCATCTACACATAAGGAAACAACAACAAAATTGATTTCATCACCTTTGATGTAGAGGGTAGCTTCATTGAGTCTTCTTTTGAAACTAAATTATATTAAATGCTCATCAATTCTACTATACCAGACTCGCACCGTCTGTTTTAGGCCATACAATGTCTTATTGAGCATATACACATCATCTTTATGCCATTTCACTGTAAAACCTTCAGATTGCTCGATGTAGATTTCTTCCTCCATGAAACCATTCAAGAATGTTGATTTAGTTTCAAGTTGATAGAGTTTCTAGCCCTTTGTGTAGCTATCGCAAGTAACAACCTGATCCTATCGAGTCTAGCAACAGGAGAAAAAGTGTCAAACAAATCAACACCAAAAAATTGAGCATACCCTTTTAGGATTCAGGTTGGTTCTAAATACCCACTTCACTCCAATCACTCTTCTGTCAACAGTTCTTTTTACTAGCTTCCATGTTTTATTCTTTTCGATCACGATGGGATCATCCTTCATTGTAGTAACCCATTTTAGATCCTTCTTAGCTTCCTAAAATTTTGTTGTTTCAAATACATCCTTATTTCATCTTAGATAAATATCATCAAGTGATATCATACCACTAACAGGTGTATCATCAATAACTCATCTTCCTTGAACTGTAATTTTGAAATTTGATCAAGTACCACAATTGCAATACCCCAAATTTTATCTAGTGACTAAAATATAAGTTTTGAAAGTTTGGTGACTAAACTGTAAACTTTAAAAACATTTAAGGACCATAAATAAAATTACAAAAATTTATATATATGTTTTAGCCTGTAAATGAACAATTTGGCTTAAAATAAAGATTTTCATGAGAATCAGATTTTCGGTACGAGATTTGTGTTAAAAGCTATAAAGCGATAAAATTCGATATTGAAATCGAATATTTGGATCAAATCGAAATTTAACGAAAATTTGAAGGATGTTAGGAATTGGTTGGAGATATTATTTCCATATTTTAGATCAAAGAAATTTGGCTCAGAACAGTTTAATTGTTTAGATTTAACTAAACAGTGGAATTTTAGTGACTAAAATATAATTTTCAAAATTTGCATGGCCAAATTAGAAAGTTAAAGCCAAGCTGATTCATCTTTGGCCAAGGAATATTTTAATGGAAGATAATACAATGGCATTTGGAAAATTTTCAAGATTTATTAATGGTATTTTTTTAATTTCTCATTAATTGAATTTTAAATTCAATTAAATTAGATAAATGCCATGTGTATTATCCTTTAAATACTAGAATAATCAAGATAAAGGCCTAATTTTCAGCTTGTTCATCTCTCTTAACCAAAACCTACCAAGCTCCAAGGTATGAATCTTTATTTTGATTTTGAAGATAAATATTTGATTTTTGGATTAAGTTATTAGATAGAGAATTAACCTACATAAAATTCTCTATCAATTGATATAAATATTTCATGGTGAGGATACTTGTGTGTTGAGATTTGATGACTAGGGTTTAAAGGGGTTTAGTGATTTTGAAGAATTGATGAAGGATTTTTATGTTTTTGATGTTGGTGATTATTTTTTAAAGCATGTATGATGATTAAAATTGATTGTACATGCATATATATGGTTTGGCTTAATTAGAGTTTTTGGAAATGTTGTAATTTTGATGTAATTTAATGTTGTGATGATTGAAAATGCATAAAATTGATCATAGGAGGTTGAATTCATGTTTGAAATTGAACAAAAAGTCTCCCTAAAGTGACATAGGGTATTCGACCATAGGGAAAATATTAAGGGAAAACGTTGAAAAATTTCCTATGGTTTAGAAATGATATTAGAAGTATTCTATGTGAATTGGAGATTGATTTGGATCAATTTGGAACCTTGAAAGTGAAAAATGGCTAGTTTACAAGTTTTAAGGATTGTGGGACATTATTGTATAAACGTGAGAGTAGGAGTATTCAATGATAATACTTAGTATTGAAATTCTAGAAAATTAAGTTGGAAAGTTTTGTGGAACCAAATTGCAAATTTGGTAAAAGTTGGGTTAGAATTCGAAAGGTCCTAAGAAAATGGGGACTTGTTTGCAAGTTAGTAAATTTAGAAGTATCATTTGGGTATATTAGGACAATTCTGGAATCTTGCTGAAAATTTTGTTTAATTATTAAGTTTGAATAAAATTATAAGTTTATAGAGATTGGAGGTTGAATTAACAAAGTTTAAGAAAGTTAAGGATGAATTTGCAAGCTTTTGAATGTTTAAGTGGTGATTTGAATATTTTATGGAGGTTCTGGAAATTTTATGTAATTAATGTGATACGATCATAATAGTGAAGGGCTATGATGAATTTAATGGAAAATTGAGGTGAATTCTAGGAAAAACTCAAAGTTTATTGATTTGGTTTTGGAAATTGGTAAAAGTTGAGGGATTTAAGTTGGGAATGAATATTTGGGAGCTTAAGAGTATTTGAGAAGTTTGGAATTTTAATTAAACTCTAATTTAATTACCGTATTGATTTTTATTTCATAGACTTTTATATTTTTTAGATTTAATTATGTTAGTTCGATAATAACATATATAATAACATAAAGTTTGAATATGTTATGTTATGATGTTATGTTGTCAGACTACTATATACCTAGCGATCCGAACGATCCGAAAGGAAAGGAAAAAGTCCATGAATAGAGAATTAACATATAAATGTTCGGTAGTGAGGCAAAGATGAGTGCAATTTGTTTATTTAATTATTTTGATCTAGGACCACTTGTCAACCTAACATTATTTATTTCAAAGTTATGAATTATGTTTTGATTTTTGAAATTATATCCGAAATATTTTAATAAGTTTTATGAATGATTTTGGGTATGAACTGCCCTATTATATTTTGTGTGTGAATAAGATCTGAAAATGATTCTGATGTGATTTTTATTAAATGATTATAAATTGAAATGAAAGCCCATTGTATGTTGTACTAAGAGTCATAGGTACAATTGGCATGCCATGAGGTGGAGTGATTATATTCTGATTCTGATATATTGTGGTTTATCGGTGGGTACATTAGCATATATTCCGATGGGATTACACTTTGTGTGCATATTGCGATTTATGAGTTGATAACACTGTTTGTGCTTATCTATTCCGATTCTGATGATAGAACTGAAATATTTATTACGCACACTCGTCTGACTCACATACCTTATATTCTCTTAAATATACTTTGGGCTACAAAAATAGATTATGAAAGTTCTGAAAAGTGTCTGATTGAAAAGAAATATTGACTAATATTCTGTCTGATATAATTTAATATGATTTTATGAAAGTCATAAGATGACCCCTTCTAGGTTTCTGGTAAAGATACATGACGAGATATCCAATTTGAAAATTCTGAAATTTTTTGTCTAAATTATTTTTAATTTTTTATATATATATATTTCGATCTTTATATATTTATTCTCACCTTTAATATTATTGCCTCGCACTTTATATATTTATTCTCACCTTTAATATTACTACCTTACTAAGTTGTACTTAGCGCGTGATGATTTTCAAGCGTAGGACCTGATAGGAAACCCGACGTGCAGTGAGGAGCCTCCCGAGCATCTTGTGAAGATCATCTATCTATAATATCAGTATCAGTAAAACATCATCGATGTTTGTTTTGACTAGTAGTGACATGTATAATTATGTTATTAATTTACTTTATCAGTTTTTGATTAAATGATTTGTAATAGTAAATTAGAACTGTTTATTTTGACTATTTTAAATTATCAGTATTTGATATGCATAGAATATATAATATTATGTTTTTAAATGATATGAAAATTCAAGTAGATATAAATAGTTTCAAAGTGAAAAATTAATGTTTAGAAAAATATTTAGCAATTATGAATAGTGAATATTGGTCAGTTTGATGTGATATCTATGGCTCGTATTTTTAGATATTTATGGGCTATGGGTGTTACATTTATTGATATTAGAGCTACACATTTAGTCAATTCTTAATCTAAACTGAGCCAATGTTATATCGAAAATATATATATGCTACTAGGATGTCGAAATTACTGATATGATATGGTTCGGAAGGTATTAGATGGGCCACCGAACAAGAGGTTTATGAGGGAATCGGTAGTGGGAGTAGTAATGAGGTAGATCATGTACCTCAACGATAGGGAGTGCATGTACATCAGGGAGTGCCGGCTCCAAATCAGGGAACATTTTTGCAAGCTGTAGAGGCTGTCCTGGCTCGATATCAGCTGACAACAACACATCCCCCTCCTCATCCTCTTCCTCCACCTCCTCTTTCAGCTTTGAGAATATCAGTTCCGAAAGAATTAAAAAGGTTTTGAGCTGTAGAATTTAAAGGAGAAGCAAACAAAGGCCCAATAATGGCAGATATGCGGTTGAATGATGTGAAAATTATGTTGGAAAATCTTCATTGTTCTTATAACGAAATATTGGAAAGAGTAGTGTCACTGTTATGAGGCCATGCTCGTATATGGTGGACTAATGTGACGACACATGTTCCTTCAGATCAGATCAATAGGAAATTTTCATGGAGGTATTTCAAAAGAAGTATATCGGGGAGCATTTTATTACCCAGATGAAGCAATATTTCTTTAATCTAATTCAGGGTAGTAAATCTATGTACGAGTATGAATGTCAATTTAATAAACTTGCTCGATATGCCTCGAAGATGGTTCCCATCGAAAGCGACATATGTTAGAAATTTATTCGAGGTCTTCATCCTAGACTCAGAGAACTTCTGTTGATTGCGAACTTGACCACTTTTCAGGAAGTAGAGAATAAAGCAAAATATTTTGAAATGGCTTAAAATGAGAATTATATGATAAAGAGGAGGAGACAATCTAAAATATCAAGAGCATCATCCTCGTTTCAGTCTAAAAGAGGTCGAGGCTCAGGTTATCAGTATCAAAATAAATTTAAAAGTGGTTCTTCTGGTCGTAAAGGATTTGAAGCAAAAGAAAAAGGTCAACAGACTCAGACGACAGTCTTAGGAGTTAACAAATCAGCTCAGTCACAGGGTCAGATGTTACCATGTCAGCATTGTGGTAAAACTCACCCTGGAGTTTGTAGAATAAAGACTGGAGCCTGTTTCCGTTACGGAGACACTAGTCACTTCATCAGAGATTGTCAGTTAGCAAGAGAGAAATTAGTTCAGGCAGAGAGGTTTGTAGATGTATCTCAGAGAGGTGGCCGAGGTAGAGGTAGAGGGAGGGGATATTCAGAGACAACCTCTCAGTCCGATGTTCGTGCTCCAGCCAGAATTTATAATATCAAAACTAATGACGATCGTGATGACCCAAAGATTATAATAAGTACTTTCTATCTTTATTATGATCATGTGTTTTTTAATTGATCTAGGTTCTACACATTCCTATAGTAGTTCGAAATTAGTCAGAGATAAGGGTATTCTGTTTAAACCCATCAATAGTGATATGATAGCTATAAATCCACTGGGTCATAGTGCTAGAGTTACACATATTATTAGAAATTGTTTGATAAAAATTCAAGGGATTGTTTTCCTGATGAATCTTATGGAGTTATCGTTTGATGAGTTTGAGATCATATTGGGCATTAATTGGTTATCCTGGCAGCAACTTGCTCAAGGTAACCCTATGCAAGCTTTGTTTCTCAAGCTTAAACATCTAAAGCCTTGCTTGCAATCTTTAAACAAGAATTCCTACAGTAACTTATCTGCTAGGGTCAAACTCAAGAGAACCGAGTTGGAACAATTACAGATCCTAAATATTAAAGGATCCAACCCTATTGATAAAGAACTTAATGTTCAAAATGAGCTATCTAACCTTGAAGAGGCTGAAAATATGTTCCTTAAGAAGAAAACTAAAGTTAGACGGCTCAAAGAGGGGGACAAATGCACCAAGTACTTCCACTCTGTCATTGCAACCAAAAACAAAAGAGACACCATTAGAGTTCTTATTAATTCTCAAGGAAAAAGGCTGGAATCATTTGATGAAATGTTTTCAGAAGTCTTAGAGTTCTTCAAATTCTAACTAGGTACAGTTGACCCTAATGTTCAGCAGCCTGATGCTCATTATTTGAAAAGTCTGCTCCATTTTGGCTTGCCTGCTGAGATTTCAACTGAACTTGTTAAAACTGTCTCTAATGAAGAAATCAAAGAAGCTATTTTTAATCAAGTAAATGACAAGGTCCCAAGCCCAGATGGATTCACCCCTCTCTTTTTTGAAAAAACTAGGCCTGTGGTAGATGATGATGTAATCAAATCTATTAGATTTTTCTTCCAAGAAGCCTTCATCTTGCCTGCCTTTAATGCCACTATAATAGCCTTGATTCCTAAGATTCAAAACCCCAGCACTGTCAAGGATTACAGGTCAATCTCATGTTGTTCTGTGCTATACAAAATCATCACCAAAATTCTTGTTAAAAGACTGACCATGCTGCTGCCAAAAATAATTACTCCTAACCAGTCTTCATTTGTTAAAGGAAGAACTATAATTGATAATACTCTCATTGCTCAAGAATTAGTAAAAGGTTATGGAATGAAGCATATATCTCCAAGGTATGCCCTCAAAATCGACCTTAAAAAAGCATTCTACTCCATTAATTGAGAATTCATTTATACTATCCTCAAAGCTATTGGGCTGCCAAGTATCTTCATAAGGTGGATAGAAGCCTGTTTTACAGAAGCTAGATACTCTATTTCTCTTAATGGCAGTTTGGTTGGTTATTTCAAAGACAAGAGGGGGATTAGACAAGGTGACCCTCTATCTATTTATGAACATCCTCTCTAAAGCTCTTAATATTGCTGCTGCCAAAGGGATTTTTGGGTATCACCCTACCCTAAATGAAAAATGATAGGCCTTACCCATCTTTCATTTGCTGATGATCTCTTAATTTTTTGCAAAGGAAATCCTGATTCTATTGCTGGAATTATCTCTGTCTTAAATCATTTCTACCACATATATGATCTTAAGCTTAATGTTAGCAAGACTGAACTCTTTGCTTCTGGAATTTCGTCTCAAAATCTTCAAATTATCAAAGCTTTCTGGTTTCAAGCAAGGTTTTATTCTAGTTAGGTACCTGGGGGTTCCATTAGTCACTAAAAAACTAACAGAACAGGACTGCCACCCTCTTATTGACATAATTAAGCTAACACTCCACCACTGGTCGGGTAAGCTCTTAAGCTATGCTAGAATGCTTGAGTTAGTCAAAACGATCTTGTTTAGTGTGCCTAACTACTGGTGCAGTCAATTTATCCTTCCACAAACTATTATTAATCGAATTAATCAGCTATGTTCTCATTTCCTATGGAATGTAACTAATCAGGCAGCAACTGGAGCTAGGGTCAGCTGGGCAAGAATCTGCTATCCCAAATTCAAAGGAGGCCTAGGTTTGAAGAACATTAAATCCTGGAACATTGCCTGCATGATCCAGCTTATTCGTAATATCCTTGCAGGAGAAGGATCACTCTAGGTCGCTTGGTTATATTGCTATGTAATTAAGAATGAAGACTTCAAGGACATGGCTGGAAAAGCCTTTCACAGCTGGAACATCAAGAGATTACTAGAACTACGATCTACTTCTCTTCCCATTCTTAATGCAGGAGCTAAAACTGCTAAAGACGTTTGGGAAGCTGTTCAAGACAAAAAAATAAGGTACCTTGGCACAAAATTATATGGTTCCCTTCTCACATTCTGACTAATGATTCAACAATGTTCATGGATTTGATGAATCGGGTGCTTTAGGCGTGTTTGGATCAATTCATGGTCGTATTCATTAATGATATTTTGGTGTATTCTAAGAATAAGGAAGAGTATGACATACATATCCGTTTTGTACTTTAGAAGTTAAGATAAAAAGTTATATGCTAAATTATCAAAAAGTGAATTTTGGCTGTCAGAGGCCGCTTTTCTGGGCCACGTGATTTCAGCATAAGGAATTAGAGTAGATCCCAAGAAAGTACAAGCGATAGTGGAGTGGAAAACTCAGAAAAATATCTTTGGAGCCTGAAGTTTCTTGGGATTAGCTGGATATTATCAGAGATTTGTTAAGAATTTTTTAATAATTGCATCTCCACTTACCAAGCTACTCCGAAAGGATGTACCATTTGTCTGGACTAAAAAGCGTCAAGCTTTGACATGCTTAAAAAGATTCTGACAGAGGTACCAGTATTAGTGCAGCCATAATCAAGAAAATATTATGTAATCTACAGTGATGTGTCTCATAATGGTTTGGGATGTTTTTTAATCCAAGAAAGTAAAGTGGTAGCCTATGCTTCAAGGCAGTTAAAGGAACACGAACGAAATTATCCGACGCATGATTTGGAGCTAGCAGCTGTGGTGTTTGCCTTGAGGATTTGGCATCATTATTTATATGACGAGTGATGTTACATTTATACTGATCATAAGAGTTTAAAATATTTGCTCACTAAGAATGAATTAATTCTAAGGAAAAGTAGATGGATTGAGCTTCTAAATGACTATGATGTGATAATTGATTACCATCCTGGGAAGGCTAATGTGGTAGCTGATGCGCTTAGCTGGAAAACCTTTGCTACTATGAGAGCGTTAGATGCAAAATTATCAATGAAAAAAGATGGCACATTGATTACAGAATTGAGATTGAGACATGCCTTATTGGATCGAATCAAAGATCTACAAAATAAAAATAAAAAATGTTTAGATATAATGGAACAAGTGAATAAAGGAGAAATGAAAGATTTTGAAATTAAGTCTTATGGATGTTTGTATTATCAGAATCAAGTTTGTATACCAGAAAATGAAGAACTGAAGAAAGATCTTGTAACACCCCAACCCGTACCCGACCCGGATACGAGTCCGAGGTGTCACATTGACCATTCAAAGCATATACTTTTATAAAAAAACCATAGAAATTTAAAACTTCTATTCTATAAAGTAATTCTTTTACATAAACATGTTTAAAACCTTAACAGACTCCATCAGAGTGTACATATATAATGACTTAGTTACATGCCAACATACTAAATTATATGACAAGACATACTTTACAAAATATTTCTGATCTAAACTTTGAGCGGAAATATGCTGCTTTACGGATCCGAAGCTTGATCTTCTGACTTATCCACACCTACGTGTAAGACACTTACACACTAAGTCATAGACTTAGTGAGACATGTAAATACATAAAGTAACTAACAAATGCATGAACATCTTATGTAATACACACTATACTTATATACCTATTGAACTCATCACTAACATGTTTATCCTTATTTATTTCCTTGTCATTAATTCAATTCCATCATATGAGCATATATTGAACATAAAATGTAATATAATTTAAAAACACAACAATACATGAATGATTACTATGATTATATCATACATAACCATATAACATCTCATATCACCACTACACTTATGCACTTGTTACCATTATTATCATATGATCCTAACTTATCACTTATACATATCACATATCACATATACCATTTCACAGGAAACACACATATCATTATATCAAATTATGTTTCTTTTCAAAGCCCATGCACACTATTGAGAACTTAAGGTATGTGAGTACCTAGAGGTTGCGCACAATGCTGTCACCACAGCTTGTATAAATCCCACTAGGGGCGCGTAGAATTTGTCTCGTAGGACCACTATGTCCCGAAGGACCATTGTGTTCCGAAGGACCACTATGTCCTGAAGGACCACGTAGACCCTCGACTCTTGGCA